ATTTCAACTTCACAACGAAGGATATTGGACTCCAGACAACGCAAGTTCAACTTCACGACGAAGGGACCGCTGGTTGTCCATAAACATCTCAATTTCAGAGCCAATTTCAACTTCACAATGAAGGATATTGGACTACAGACAACGCAAGTTCAACTTCACGACGAAGGGACCGCTGGTTGTCAACAAACATTTCTCAATTTCAGAGCCAATTTCAACTCCACAACGAAGGATATTGGACTCCAGACAACACAAGTTCAACTTCACAACGAAGGGATGGCTGGTTGTCAACAAACAATTTCCCAGTTCTAGAACCAATTTCAACTCCACGACGGAGGATATTGGACTCGGAACAATACTACTCACTTGGATTTCAACTTCACGACGAAGGATATCCAGTTCACAGCCAACTTCACGACGAAGGGGCCATACACAACTTCACAACGAAGGGTATCATGCCCTAACAGATGAACCCAACCTCACGACGAATGAGTCATCTGTAACACCACAACACCAAAGTCTTCAGGTCAAGTTTCAGCTTCACGACGAAGTACCTTGAGCCAGAAGACGATTCAAAGGCCACTTGCCAAAAACTTTGAGCTCGGTTTCAACTTCACAACGAAGGATTTCGTGCTCAAAATTTTCCAGTTTCAACTTGACCTCACGACGAGGGAGTCATTTCATATTTTAGTTCAATTTGACGAACCAGTTTCAATATCGGATTTCAACTCTGTGACAGAGGATATTCGATATGACCGAAATTCATGTCTTTTAATCTTTGCTACATTTTCGTTATACGATAATGAGCAAAGAGGGGCAACTGAAGACATCGAATTTCATCCATTGATATAGTTTTTATAATATCAAACTATATTATAGAATATAATATTTATTTGTTTATTCATGGGGTTACATATTACAGGCCCATTACACGAAAATGAAATAGCCCAAGACCCACTGCATGCAAACCATTCCAGCGAGCTAGGGTTTCCAGAACCCTAGCCTCCCAAGCGATGCCTCGTCCCATGCCCGAATCTCATGGTCGTATGACTCTCACCTCCAACAGTCCGAGTTCTCTGGCGCAAGGAAAGCACATGAGGCCAACACCATCATCAACAAACAACAACGCATTAGAGTTCTATTTTAAATAAGAGTCTAAAAAATAGTTAGTTTTTCCAGTATAAATAGATCTATTTGTAACACTACGAGGGAGGATTCAGAGGAGAAATACCAGAGAGCTTTAGACACAAAATACTCAAAAATTTGCGAGGTAAATCAGAGCTATTGTAATCGTTTCGAAAGGAAATAAAAAGGTAGCAGTGTTTTTTTACCTTTGTCCATCCGTTTTTTTGCCTTTGCATGTTGATTTCTATGCCTTGTACTGCGTTTTGATTCGAAAGACAACCCAGAAAAAAGAAAAAACGTTTTCAGCCGATGAACAAGGGGAGAGTTTCAAAACTTTGAAGCTAGATCTACTCCATGATGCTCGTTATTTGTTGGATTTTTTTTTCATTTTTGAGAAGCGTGGGTAAAAGGCTTTCGAACTGTAAAAAAAATAAATTTTTTTGCCGCCGAAGAACGGCGGTCGTCGCCGTTCAACGGCGGTGGCGAGGCGGCGCTCGGAGGCCAAAGGCCAGATTCTGGAAAACCTGGTCCATGTTCTTCATGTTTGAAGAACAATGGAGAGAAAAGATTTGAGAGGGAAAGGGGCTTCAGTTTACGAATGAGAGAAATGGGCAAAGTTTGCCAAATCTTTGGCCTTTATATGGCTCGTTAACCCGACCCAGATACACGCCAGACCCGCGTGTTTTGCTTTACGATAGGGTAAACCACCATTTCAGTCCCTCCTATTCCAAGTGAATGTTATCACAATCCCCAAATCTGATTTTTTACCCAATTTTGTTTTGAATCCGACCCTCAATCATGGATTTCTTCCAATTTAATCCTGTTACTTTGCTTTTTATTTATTTATTATAATCGTTATTATTTTTAATATTATTACTTTATATATACGTATTTCATATTTTACTTTTTGTTTTGTTTACAAATTATTATACATGTATATATTATTTTTTTATAGATTAATATAACTATTACTATTATCTTCTTTTTACTAATTTATATATATATTTTTTTTTATTTTATTATTATATACGTATATTATTGTTTTCCTTATTGGATTATTTTTGCTTAATGCTATACTTTAATATATATATACTGTTAATAGTTTATTTATACGTCTATTATTATTATTAGGTGCACATTTCAATCATTTTTATTCGGTTACTTTTTTTTCACTTTGTTTTTTATTTCTTTGATGGTCATTTTTTATTCATTGTATTTATTCATTCTTTAGTTGTGTATAGATTATTAATATTTCATTTATTTATTTATCTTACTTTGCTTATTAACCTTTTTTCTATTTTTATCTTCATTCTTGTTTCCTTTATTTTTATTTTTATTTTATTTTTTTCTCGTTATTTAACGTCTTTATTTTTAAGGGAACTTCAATCAATCAGTGGTAAACAATTTGGATCGATATTTTACCTTTTGATTTAACTTTCAATTTTCTTAATTAAAGACAACTGGAAATTACGCAGTACCGAAAGGGCAGTTCAAAGGTGCTAGCCCTTCCTTGACTGTAACCGACTCCCGAATCCGACACATCTTTGGTAAGACGCAGATCAGGTAAGAAATAAGGTATTCGGTCAACCTATTTTGTTTAAAATAAACGATCGGTGGCGACTCCAATCCATTTGCCTAAGTCGAAGCCCAATTCCGAGGCCCAACCGAAAGACGGTTGCGACAGATTGCATATTCCAGGATGTATGAACTTAGGATGAACAACTTCCCAGTTTCTATTTTACAATGTACATTTCATCCCAATTGGTAAAGGGCAAATATATTTTAGTATGTGTTAGTTGTGTTAAGTGTTCTATATTTGTATTATTTGTATTTTAAGACATTTATGTATTATTTGAAATTGGAAAACCCACTCTTCAAAAATAATAAAAAACACTAAAATTAAAATAAAATAAAAACATAATAACCTACACAAATAGTCAATAATGTTTGAATAAGTACTCGTTTTTCCATTATATTTTTAAAAGTAATAAATTAGTCATTAACGTTATTGATTTGTAATAAATTAATCACTCGACGTTAATAACCGTTAACTTGGGTTATGACTTATGAGTGGTTTGGAAAGAGCGAAGACTGCTTAGTTTCATTGACCGGGAAGAACTGTGTATGGATCGTATTCTGATCAAGAATGTCCGATACAAATCTTCCTTCAAAGCTACTCGTCACAGCAAAATCTCCTCTCAACATCAAATCACATCGAAAGGAAGCGGAGAACGAACAAAAGCTTTCTCCAATACCTGAACTAGCTATTACAACATACATTAAAATGCTACTCGATTACATTTTTCCTAAGGAGGCTTTTCACTTCTACGTCAATTGGTGCCGGTCCATTCTTTCCAGTCCTTGTCTACGTGATCCGTAGCCCATTTGACTGCAGCACGTGCAGCTTCCGGCCCTCCGGGCAGTCCGCGCTCATCTATAGTATCGGCAATGTCAATGAAAGGTATGACCAAGAGTGTTCCAGGACCACCATATTCAGTATGCAAGAAAGTGATGAATATCTGTTTAGAACAAGCAGAAACAACATAATTGAGTGCCTCTATAACAACTAGATGGATCACCACACCAAAATGGCAACGAATGGTTATTCCACTATTTCATACCGGTTCAAAGTATCGGTTTAGTATATTGGCCTTTGCCACTTAGAACAAAGCGCTTGTTTTCCATTTTTCGACAAACATGAGGCCTTTTCATTTAGGCATAATACTAAAAAAAATGTTGGACTAATTCGTCAGAACAAGCTATTCAAATTGTTCCCAGGTTTTCTAGTTAAGCAAATATCTACCTAAACGGATGACACAGTTATTTCTAATTTAACTAATTATGCTCTGGAAAACCTTCCAAGCCTTTCACATTCACAATCACCTCATTAGAGTACAAAGTTCAAACCTTCAGATAAAAATCTTGCTTTTTTGCAAGTGTTCTTCATGAAAATTATGAATTGGGTATTCTATTCTGAAATATCAACAATTTCCACTCAAACAACAATCATACACTCCACCAATTAGGGGTAAACAAACTCGAGTTGAAAAAATGGGGTTTTCAACTCAACTCACTTAAAAAACTGATTTTCCTTCAACTCGAATCGACTTCGAGTTATAATTTCGTAAAGTCAGACTCGTTTTATCCCATCACCGACCATCAAAATAAGAGGAAAATTTGCTTAAAATATAGAAAGACACTACCTCGACGCAGATTCCTACAATTTCTTCAACCGAGTCTCCATAAATATCCTCCTTCTTGGACAGTTTCTTGAGCAGATGAGACCTAAATTTATCCGTTTCCTGAAGCAATCCAAATAAAAAAAAACCCCAAGAATTGAATTCTACATTAAAATAATACATACCCAAGATAATTAGAAGCATAAAGATGTGAGAGGGAAGTAAATGGGAGCTTACAGCATCAGCGAATTCGAGAATCGGGTCAGGGAATTTGTAATCAGCAGCTTTGCAAATGAAGTTGGGCAATGGGAAAGGGAGCAAAAAAGGTGGTGTTTTTTTGCTGGTTAAAGTGTAGGCGAAAGAGTTTTTGAAAGCAAAGGAAAGTGAAGATGGAGGAGGAGAAATAGGAGGAGCTGGACAAGAAGGAAAGGAGGGAAGTGAGAGAACCGTGGAAGATTGAAGAGCTTTGCTTAATGAACCCATTCCCCTTATCTTCTTTTCTTCTAGCCTGTTGGCCTGGGGTTTAACGTTTTTATCTTAAAACCCCTATCCTCTAAGGGTAAATTACAGTCATGGTCACCGAATTAAAAATGACGTCTAAAAACATTCATTTTAAACCCTAAACCCTCGTCTCCTCCTCCTGCCACTTTGAATGTTTTTCTAAGCCTCAAAAATGAAGCAGCAGCTTATCTCAAAAGAGGCAATAATGATTTTACGTGGCTCAACTTCAATGCTCAATTTATACAGTTTATCAACCACCACCCCAAAGCTCCTCTCTCGTTTCAGCCGCTCCTCTTTCCTCTCTACTTCCCCGCCATCTCCTCCAATACGTTTTATTTGGCTCAATCAATCCTACAGGCGCCGAACCAGGGCCTTCAGCAGTGCAGCCGTTGCTGTCTCTTCTCTAGAGAAAACTGGGGGAGATACCTTCTTTGCTGAAGAGACTGTTTCCTGGAAGTCTCTTGGCTTATCTGATCGGATCTCTCAAACTCTATCTAATGCCGGTTTCGATAGACCCTCCCTCGTTCAGGTGCTTTACCTTCCTTCTTTTGATGACTTCATATCCGTTCCTTATAATTTAAGCTCCGTTTCGCATTAACTTTGCGATTCATATTACGACACTGAATAGGTTTCTAATAATTTAGTAATTGTAATACTTCTTAAAGAACAAATTTTTTTATATTTGCTTTAGAATTGGCGTGGCTCTTTACTTATTTAATTGTGTTTAATCGATTATGAATATGTTTTCAGTCATTTGATGTTAGCAATAAACAAAGAGAAAAATCTGAAAGGGATGGAACTACTTTTTAGTTATTCTAAACATATTAGCTAAAACAACTATCAAATGCATTTATTATTTAATAGCCGTTAGTTTGAATTCGATATGGAGTTTTAGTTGATTGAGGCCGATTTTCTTTAAGTCTTCAATCATGTGAGCTCACCATTAATGGGTGGATTCGGGTGTTTATTGAAAAAAAAAATCCTTTTTGAATTATATAGGCTGCCTGCATGCCGTCTATACTCTCTGGAAAAGTTGTTGTAATTGCTGCGGAAACTGGTAGTGGTAAAACATATGGTTATCTGGTTCCCCTGATTGATAAGCTCTGTAGTGCTCGGCATGATGGGGATAATGATTCGGATAAACCTACTGCTTATTCGCGTAGTTTATCTGTTGTTCTGTGCCCAAATGTATTGCTTTGTGAACAAGTGGCTCGAATGGCTAATGATCTTTCAGGTGATGATGGCAAACCACTTCTCAGAGTCGCAGTGGTGTGTGGTCGACAGGTATTTTTGTGAACGGCATCATGCTTCTCTTTGGCTTTGTTAGAATTCATGGTTTCTATGTTATTGAAACTTGGAGGGTGCTTTTAATTTTTTTTTCAGATGCATGTATATATTTGGCATTGTTACCTTTGTATTGGTAAAATCTGGTTGTCATAAATAAGACGTTTGACTACAGGGGTGGCCAGTTAATGAACCAGATGTTATTGTGTCAACACCGGTTGCTCTTTTGAACAATATAGACCCAAAAAAACATCATCGTTCGGATTTCATTCGTGCTGTAAAGTATATGGTATGTTTTCTGACTCATACCTTTGTATTCGTTTTTGTTATTTGGGAAACCACGAGGCTCTTTTTTAAGAAAAAAATATTTACAATACTACACAGGTTTTTGATGAAGCAGATATGCTTCTTTGTGGGGGCTTTGAGAATCATGTTATCCGTCTTATACACATGTTCCGTTTTGATGAAAAGCTGTTGTCTCGGATGAGTAAATCTGGACTTGAGAATCCCGTGGAACTGACTTCTTATTCTGTATCACACTTTGACTTCGAAGGTGAGGAAGACATACAAAATGAATCCATCTCTGATGCTGAGGACTTGACAGAAGGAACTCAAACTTCATCCATCGAGAAAAAGGACTGGAGGAGAGTGAGAAAATATTATGAACGAAGTAAGCAGTATATATTTGTTGCTGCAACCCTTCCAGTTAATGGAAAGAAAACTGCTGGTGCTGTGTTGAAAAAGATGTTTCCAGATGCCAACTGGGTTAGTGGAAGCTACCTCCATCAACAAAATCCTAGGTGCCAAATTCTTATACTCTTTTGTTTTTTTCCCATCTTCCATTGATAAACGGTGCTGCTTTTAGTTAAGGTTATTAGACCCAGTTAGAGGCCAAGACATTTATCTCTTTCTCGTATTTTATTGTTTTAAGCTTATCACTTCTCATGGTGATCTGTTTTGATAAAAAAATGTGTTTGTTATCATTAAGGAAAAATGATTTTAAAGATTAGTGATACCATTTTTCTTATGCATGGAGATTTAGGCTGGACCTGGTAATTTGTGTATCCGTTTTGTGCTCCTGTATTTTGTCAAGCCATAATGATATTTAATGTCTTTTATATTTATATAAATTTTGATAATAACTTGAATTATATAGATTCTAAAACATTCATGCATTCATTGTCATATTCACGTCGTGGTTTAGTTATTTTTCTATATTGTGTTTAATATTGTCTACTCTAACTTAGAACATGTCACAAATTACCAGATTAAAACTGCTGTTGTTACCAACCATGGTGTATAAACCACGATAACCATTTTAAAAATGGCATTTATTTTCCTTCTGTCTGCTCATGTATTTAAATTTTAAAGCCTTCTGATGCTTGGATTTTGGTTGCCAACAAGATGCATTGAATTAGATTTAAACTAAATCCTGAGGAATCAGTTGGCTATCATTGTTGATGAGCTTGGAAACATAAGAACTCTGAGGATTCTATGCCGGAACAGTTAAGTTGTACTAAATTTATTAGGTTAGATGTGGTGTCCTTGCTTGTGTTTCTCGTATAAAGATTCAAGACAAAACTTGTTAATCTATCTGTTTTGAGGGGCGAAAATGCTGAGCACAATTAATTTTTGCGGATCCAATATCTTGATAGTTTTATATGTGGCATAACAGCTAGCCCTACAGAATCCAACCTTGGCATGGTTTTCAGTTCGTCTACTCCTATGAGCCGTCATGTATTTGCCCTATGTCAAATTGTCAATAATCATCATTTCAATCCCTCATGTCCTGTTATCTTCAATGTCAATATTCAGCTTATAGGCGATTTGTGTTCCTTTTCCAATTTCAGATTGAAGGAGAAATGGGTTGAAGTCACAACTGACACTCAGGTTGATGCACTAATAGAGGCTGTAAAGCAATTTGACTCAAAATCATTGGATCATGGTGCTGGTGTTAGCCGAACCATGGTGTTCGCTAACACTGTTGAGGCTGTTGAAGCAGTGGCTAATATACTGCAGAGGGCTGAAATCGAGTGTTGCCGTTACCATAAGGACCTCTCCCTGGAAGAACGTGCTGAGTCCTTAGATGGTTTTCGAGAGAGAGGCGGAATTTTTGTGTGCACAGATGCAGCTGCTCGTGGCGTTGACATTCCAAATGTTTCGCATGTCATCCAGGTGATTCATTTTACTAAACCAATTTTATAGCTCATGATAAATGGATAATCTTGCAACATATGGCTCTTTCTATATAAGAGAATCAAATAAACTGTGTAAGTTACTGGAGAATAAACTCATCAAGGCTATATTTTGTTAGGGAGGATGGAAAATAGATGGAAAATCTTTTAACAGTAGTTGGGATTAAAGTTTCCACTACTTCCTCCTTTCCACCCTTGTACCAAACTGATAATGTTTTTAATAAAAATTGTCAAAAATGTATTGCCATTTCTCTGTAAAAAAAACAATTTATAGATGATAACACTGTTATTAAGTTATGCTTTACAAAAGCAGGATCATGTTGAGTTGCTGACAAACGGATATATGCAACAAAAATCTAATTGTAAATTGACATACATACATGTCACATGAGCATGACCAATGCAAGAAATATAAATTTTGAAGTAGTCCGGTACATGTTATACGAGGAAGAATAGGCATTTATATTTCTTTATACTTTTGTGCAATCACATCTGAGTAATACTATATAAACAAGAAGAAAGGTCATTCCTATTATAAGAGAATTACTTGTATAAATATTGATGGGGAGATTAGGTATTGTCATGAGTTTATGACTAGCAAATTATCTAAATTATTTAGGGCAGTTGATCATCTGAAATATTTGATTCTTTCAGGCAGACTTCGCCACTTCTGCGGTAGATTTCTTGCATAGGGTTGGTCGAACTGCACGGGCTGGTCAATTTGGAGTTGTAACTTGCCTCTACAATGAATCGAACCGAGACCTAGTTAATGCAATACGTGCAGCTGGGAAGCTGGGCAGCCTGTGGTAATTGAAAAAGCTTTCAGTTCCCGTTTAGCTGAATCGACAGTTCAACACTCAAACTCATATTAAGGAGATAGTAGTTGTAGACATCATTTTTTTCATTTAAATTTATTATTATTATTATTAAAATTATTATTATTATTATTAGTATTATTATTATTATTATTATTATTATTATTAGTATTATTATTATTATAATTATTATTATTATTATTATTATTTATTATTATTAATATTATATATTATTATTATTTAAATATTACAAAGCCCAAATCACAGCCCAATTACATTCAAATCCCAAACCCAAATGGAAACCCTGAATTAATTTAGGGTTTCAGCTAGGGTTTTCAAACCCTAGCCCCCAGCCGCCATCCACATCATCAGCCGTTGGATCTGGCAAGATCCAACGGCCCAAAAGGGTTCCAGATGGAAAACCCTAGGGTTTCTAACCCTAGCAGCCAGCCGTTTCCAGATGCGGCACCACCCTGAAGCCACCCCGACGACCGACTCTCTGATGCCAGATGGTCCAACCAGTTGCTGCCGACGCTGCTGCTTCCACGACGCCGACCTCGTCGAGCTTTCCAGAGGCCAGCTGCCTCACCAAATCAGTGCTCTATGGTGAGTCACCGCCATAGCTTGGTGACTCACCAAAGATGCTAGATCGGACCGGTCCGAGGAGTACACTGTGGTGGCTATAAAAGCCACCACTGAACCTGCAAAAAAAAGAGGAGGAGAGCAAGGACAGAGAGTAACGGAGTACAACAGAGAAACAGACGAAGAGATAAAAAAAAAGAGAGAGATACGAGCAACAACCAACAACCAGACCAAAACAGAAACGAAGAGAAGAAAAGAAACTTACCCTTGAAGCTTCGCTCATTACCGGAAATCTCGAGCATCACCGGAGTCTCATTTTTCGAAGGTAAAAAATTAGATCTACAGGAATCTAAGGGTTTTTAGGGAAAACAAAGACCGGAATCGGTCTTAGAGCGTTTAAATCTATATTTTAGGTAAATTTGGGAATTTCCGGCCACCGGAGGCGGTGGCCGGCGGGGGGACTTGCGGCGGAGCATGGTTGCCGGCCGGTGGTCAGCCCTCTCTCTCCGGGGAAGAATTTAGAGAAAACAGAGAGAATTTTCTCTCTCAGAGAAAGAAAGAAAAGAAAGAAATGAGGAAGATGGCATATATGGCCGGCCATTCGGGGTATTTAAACCCCTCTCCGAACGACGTCGTTTTGGGGGAGGGGTGTGCGTGTAATTTCCATCATGGGTAAACCCTTTCCGCAGTCACTCCGAGTTTGTAACATTACAAATTAGTCACTAAAATCAAGTTTTAATTCTTTTAATTATGTCATTCAATTTTATTTTATTACATTTTAATCATTATCAGTTTATATATATTTAGGGTAAATAACTGATTTAGTACCTTATAATTTTATTAATATTTATTTTAATCCGATTAATTAAATAAGGCTAAATTACATTTTTAGCACTTAAAGTTTTTATTTATTCGAGATAGAGCCTTTAAACTTTGATAAATTTTATTTTAATCACTGATTAATTAATTAAGGATTAATTACACTATTAGTAATTTTATTTTATGATGATTCAAGTTATGTTCATAATTTTACATTTATTATTTTATTTTTTTTAGTCATTGTTTAGTTATATTTTAATTAATTTTTATTATATTTTAAATCATTACTTTAATTATTGTTTTACTATATTATAATATATATTTATTTAATAATGTTATTTATTTTCCATATTAAAGAAAAGGGCAGTCTTAATACAACTGGATGTCCTATTTTGGTATTTTAAAACTAATTATCATAAAAATTATAATTTAGTTTTATTACGTTTTTTTTATTAATATAGAAGGAAAGAGCTGTCTTAAAGGTACCTAGAAGCCCTTTTCTGATATTTCTAAATAAATAAATATCTTATTTATATATTAATATATTTTCTTAAAATTATAAATTTGAAATAAAAAGATTATGAATTAAATATATTCGAAATTTTTTCTTCTAATAATAGAGACAATTTATAGTTAATAAAGTACCAATTTTGGGCGTTGTAGGGGTGCTAATCCTTCCCTAAACGTAACCGACCACGAATCCCTTTTTATTATTAAAAAGAACGAATTTTTGGTTATAAACGTAGATCAGTTCATTTTTTAATTGATGTTTTCTTAAAACTCTTTTAAAAATAATTTTTAGGTATTCGACCTACCTGACCCAAAAGGCCGATGGCGACTCCCAAATTATTTTCAAAATTATTTACATCAATTTACCCGCCAAATAAATATTTTGTGCCCGGACGAAAACCGGTTACGACAGCTTGGCGACTCCGCTGGGGATGATCAAACTTTAAAATCAATTATAAATTGTCTCTATTAATTAGAAATTAAAAATTCATTTATTTAATTTTTAATTCTTTTCTTTCAAATTTTTATTATTTATTATTTTTATATTAATATTGTTTTATTTATCTGTTAGAGGTTTGAACATTTCTCCTCCACACACACTTGCATAACATAAAGCTCTATAATTGAGTTTGTCCCTTTAAGTGGGAGTGAAAGCGACGTCTTCGTGAGAATTTATTCTCCGTGTTAGACCTAGCAAGTAACTTTCGGGGTTCATATGCTCTATGTCTTCGTGAGAATTTCTTCTCCGTGTCAGGCATAGAGAAATGTGTCCTCTCGAATTGAACTCGATCCGCTAAAGTCTGTAGTGGACTAGGATTGAGGGTTTGACAGCCCAAGGGGGCGTCAACAAGAACAATTCAAGTACCTTTACTCCTAGAACTGAAACTCTGCATATAATAAACCCTAGAAATTCACCTAATCTAAGACAGTACTGAACCTTGTTCATAGGTGTACACAAAGGAGAAATAAGCTCTAGCTTTTAATTTATTTAATTTATTATTATTTTTTCTCCCTGAATAAATGCATGCGAACTAGAAATCATGCGGTTAGGTTAATTTTCCAAACAAAGCATGGAACTAGAAAGCATGAGGTTAAGATTTATATATACCATGATAAATAAATTTTTTCTTTCAATTAGTTGGTATTAACCATTTTATTTTTTTTCTTATTTTCCCATATATGTTATTTTTGCTCTAATTTGTTTAAATTATTTTCTTTTGTTTGCATTGCATGATCATAGCATAACCAAAAGGTGTTTACTTGAAAGACTGTTCATCATATTGGAAAGAAATCGTAAATGGACAAAAGTTTTATGATCAAACAAAATATGATGCGGCCAAAGAAAGACATCCTGAGGAAACTCCGAGAATAGAAGCAAGCTATGCACCCAAAGATCGTATGACCATTGAAGAGCAAAAGGAGATACGAGAAATAAGAGATCAGATGACCAAGATGATGGATAGAATATCTGTTTTGGCCAAAGGAAAAGAGATTCCAGCACAGAAAGAGAGAGAGCTCAATGAACCTAACTCTGCAGTTTCAGATACGCAAGGGATTTCGATTCCTAACCAATTAGATAAATTACAGACAGTCATCATTCGTATTCACAAATCGTATGGAGATACCAAAGAAAAGGTGACGACTGTACAAGCTCCCAGAGAAGAGAAGAAATCATGTAATCAGAAATCATCAAAGTTTGGTCTGCTCCCGACGTCTAAAACTCAGGTTCAATCCAAAACAAAAGGTGTTTCTCATGTTGATGCTGTACCTATATATAAAGATTTGTATGGAAAGTTACTTGAAGCACGAGAAATAGCTCCATATTACATAAAACCGTTCCAACCTCCGTATCCAAATTGGTATGACATCAACGTTCATTGTGAATATCATGCCGGAGCTCAAGGACATACTATCGAAAATTGTCTTGCCTTCAAACGCCGAGTCCAAAGTCTTTTGGATCATGGAACCTTACAATTTATGGTAAATGATCGACCTAGTTTGGTAACCAAGGGTCCTGATAGATTAATACCAAAAGTCTTCAAAGGTAAGAATAGTAGGGGCACCCATAGAGAAGAAGATTTGCTGAGGTTTGAAGCTCAAATACGTCATTTGAAGAGTAAAAACGATAAATTGAGCACCAAAATGGAAACCATACATGAAGACTTCTAGAAGGTCAGTCAAGCCTTTCAAAATGCTGGTATAGGAAACACCCCAGAGAGTGGATAGCAGGGGTCACCAAACTGAAAAAGAGTTGCAACATACATGAAGATCTTGTCCAAAACTTTTTGAACACAAATGTTCTCTCACAAAGGGAAAATGAGCAAATCCGAGAATTGACATAGGAGATGAAAGAACACCAGAATGTCATGGAAGAAGCTGCAGTCCATACAAGCAATATGGCCCATAAGCTGATAAACTAACTTGGTTTTATAGAAGAAAATGGGAAAGTTATTCCCTATATGTAAAGTTTTGTTAGGACTGAAAGTTGTCCCCTACATGTAAAAGTTTTGTTTGATGTACTGAAGCTTTTGTGTTCAATGAAATCTGTTCTAAGATGATCACTCTTAGGTAACACCTTTTCATACATACATTTACATTTTGTATCTGTGCATTTTCATTTTGTATTTTATATCTTTGAATTGCACATTTTGCATTCTTATTTTTCCATTTATGCATTTTTCACATTTTTTTAAGTATTGTCATGTACTTTAATTATAAAAACATATAAATAATTCATGAAAGGTTTCTGTAACAGTAAAAACCAAGATCATTCATTTATTTTACTGTACCATCATCATGAAAACAATGGAGCAATCTTATGAAGGACTACAAGACCATTGGCCAGAACCATTGACAGGGTTACCTCGGGATACAAAGAAAGAAATTTCAGATTCAGTACCAGATGGATCAGATCAAATTATCCAGGGAATGGAATCTGATAAAGAAGATACAACTGCTATAGAGAAATCGTGCTATCAGATTGAAGAGTCGAGAAAGATAACATACCCTGAGGCATCCCACTCAAACCCAAAGAATAGCCTCATTAATTATTCACAATATGAGGAGAAAGTCAAGAGGACAGAG